TCCGACGTGTAAGATGCTTTTCGATATTTTCTCTTCACTGCTCAATAAGATGTATTATTTTTTTAATATATTTTTCTACGGAAACCGTTTACTCAAAGAATAAACAAGGCTTGGTGATATCCCCAGAGCACAACTACTGAGGAGTAAATGTTTATATAATGTTATTGGCCTTCTTGGATGAAAACTTATTGAGCTGAATTCTTTCGAATATTATTTTTGAGGACATACTCTGTATATTCAATTATTTGAAACTATACATGCTCATGTAATTTTATTCTGCAAAAAAATGATTCGAAATTCTCATTAATATTTGAAATTGAATGGATGAAAAATCAATTACAATCGACAGTGCTGTCGATCGTAGAAAGGTTGGGCGTGAAAATGAGAACAGACGTTCTTGTCGGCAAGAAGTATGAAAAATCTGTCAACAATATAAAATGAGAGAGAAATCACATTTGTACGTCACGATATAAAATCAAAATTGATTGCTGTCATATGTGATGCAATCATTTTGTCCTTTATTCCCAATTCACAAATTGAAAAACATAACTTCATATGAAGACCTATAATTGTTCAGAATTTAGAAACTTCATATGCTATCATGTGGTACACGAAACCCGTCAAGTGTATACAATTTTTGAGAGCTCTCAAATTCGCGAGATTTATTCGTACTTTTTCTTCCTTCATTATCTTTAGCTACACTAGGAATTCTGGTTATTATACCATCAATCATTTAGCTTGACAGGCGTCCGTCCGAGCGAAACTTTTTTGGGCGTTCATCATTAACATCCTGAACTTTATGGTCATCCGCTTGATTGTCTCGTATTTCTATGAGATTTGTGTTAACGGAAACCTGAAGTCGTACAGTTTTTCCGGCTTATAATAAAAAACACAAATGGAATTTTGAAATAAATGGGCTTTAGTACCAACGAGTTTATTTCTCTAGAGACATCATAGAAAATGAAAAAAGACATTTTTTCTACCTATTTTTCAAACTTGTTCTCATTTTCAAACACAATACTCGGTGTTTTATGCAAATCAACTGTGAATAAAATAATTGGATTTTATAAAATATGATTAGTAATTATTCTGTAATAAATAACATTGATATTGGCATGGGGACTAAAAATAAAAAAGCGAATATCATTACATGCTGCGAAGCCGATGTGTGAAGTCCAATAAAATCGATTATCGAAGTTATTTCTACCAAATTGTAATAGATTGTATGACCTAGGGATTGAAATAAGAGGGTATATCGAATAATTGAATTTTAATCGAAAACCCATAGATTAATATTGTTATTTACGTATCTTATCACAATTGTATGTAATTTGATCAATAGACTATTTTAAACTCGACATTCCTTGCATTACCGACCTGATTTAATTAAATAATTACGTCCGTAGCTTCTACCATTTACTTAAAGCTCAGAAAGTTCAACCTCAAAAATTGCATTAGTTTCATTATAGTTCAACTTCTATTGGCGAGGTGGCAAAAATAATCGTTTTATTTTCCTTCTTTTTTTTTACTCTTATCTACTTAAGAACTGAAACAAAAGTTTATAATTAATGTTGTGAATACTTTGGATATATTCTGCATTAGAACTATTTGGCCAACTTTTTCATTTCGTCGGTCTGGCAGTTCGATTATGAAAATTTTGGCAATCACGACGCCAATCCACTTCGTAAAAAAAGATGTGTCTAATTTTAAATGAAGAAATATATACCTGCAGATGGATATATCTGTATATGTAGAGAAACTTTCGTCGTACTTTAATGTGGCTTTCTTCAGTATACTTGTGTTATAATACTTTGCTGGAAAGCAGTTTCTTTTGTTTTTTTACAATGTTTCCTTTTCATTTCTTTTGGCCCTTATTTCCAGGTGGAGCATTTACCATTTTACTATGTTTTGCTCATTAAAAAGTTTCGTTTCCTTTATTTAGATAAAAGTTTTTGATTCATTACCCATTCAGTCGTTTTGTTTTTATAAATACTGTGTTTTTTTTCGATACTTTTTTTTCATCACAATTGTTACGAATCGAATGGCTATTCAAGCGATAAACTTTGGTGACAGCCAACACATGAGAGATATTTTTATATCGTGATAGGGAATTACGAGGCAGGTGTTACTTTTCACTTTTGACTGGTATAGGAAGGGTAACCATAACTATTATCTGTGGTAAAGGCTTATCAATGTCACTCTGGTTCTCTTGTTTCATTGTTAAGGGTTGTTCTTTGAGCCTCTGTGGTTGAGAACAACCCGTGACACCGCAAACTAATGATTCCTAAACGCGTAGATCTGACAGCAGACAAAGATAGACAGAGAAAAGGACATAAGACATTGAAGTATAGAACTGATGCTGGACACACTATACGTCGACAAGATTAATTTCTATGTCGAGACATACGAACAATGGGCTAATTATGCCAATTTGTTTTCTGCTACTTGAACGAAGCTGTTAGGAGTTCGCTACCAGTTATTCTGCGATCTCTCCAGTGGTGTCTGATGAAAATTACAGAGACCCGAGCGCACATCCTACTTTGTCACCATAAACTCTCATTAATGTACTTAAAATTGGTTTTTTTTTGTAGTTCCTTGAGCTCTAGAAGAAAAAAATAAAAAATTGTAATTCGTTTGGTCTACGAAAATAATGAAAAAAATATAATAGATATAATAAATAGTTCTCACATTTTCAAATTACAAAAATTAAAGAAATTTATTGTAGTGATATAGTCATTTTACTTTATCATAGATATAGCCGTCATAAGTAAAAGAAATTCTCGCTTTTCACAGCTGAATATACTTTAGAAATCTAGATGTTATTTCATGTTCAGGAAGTGAAAAAAAAATAAAGTTCTAGCAAATGTCCTATCACGATTGGAACACAAATATATTCTGACAAGGATTGAAAAGTTTTATCCACAATATTTGAGCTGCAAAACATTCAAAACATTTTTAGACCTACAGAGCAATCCAACGGATTTTACGTTTCGAATCAAAGTATGCAATAGGGTTTTTCAGAAGACATGCTCAATTGTATTCGATTCTATTGAAATGTTTGCAGTTTTTTCTATCGCTTACACGCTATTTACTTGATGACAAGTAACTGTTGCTGAAACACTTTTGAATTCTTTTATATGTTTCACGGAAGGCGAGAGAGTAGATTTACTTTCGAAATAGTTTAGTTCATAAAATTCTACTTTACTTACACAATATCCATTTGCTTCTGTCTTTCATTTAATAAAAACTTTTCAGATAACAATTATAATAGTAACTTCTTTTTTGTCTCTGACATTATTGAAAAAAATACGGATTATCAAGCACTTTTATAGGTAACTGAAAATAATGTAGATAGAATTTTATGATTATTGCAAGTTTTCGAAATATCTTGATAAATAATTTATACTCACATTTCTTTTGTGAATGACGATCATGTTGATAGAAATTTGTAGATTGTTCAAATAAAATGTGAACAAATAAATTTTTATTATTTACTGTTTTAAACGAGTAGAATAAAAACTGATCATCCTTTTAAATTATTTGACGTTGTAAATTGAAAGTCATTTTCTATCTTGAAGTCTTTGGAGAGCTTTAATCGATACTTCTCTACCATGTCTCAATTACGAAGTTGTATACCTCAATATTCGCTAGTTAATTTCCGTAATCCATCTCCCAAGATCTGATCTTCTCGTGTTCTCACTCAACTCAGATACATTACATCCAAACAGTAAACGAACAATTTATTAGCAAGTGTAGTCTACTTTTTAAAAAAAAATTCAATTACATATAATTTAAAGAATAATTAAACTGTATACATATTTTTTTAAATTGAAATGATCATAATTTAATCAATGTCTAAGTATGAATTGATTAGATAAGTGAATTAAGCTATCAATTAATAAATTTTTAGGTTAACTCAATCGATAAAATAAATTATGATAAAATTGCCCCCTTTAATTTTTTAAGTAAACAACGCATGGTAAGACGCCATGATTAGATTTATGTTAGATTTATGGCAGCCATTTTGAGTAAGTCGTGCATGCCCTCAATCCACAGATGAACGCGTCGTAATGTTTTCTTTACTTTTTTGATATTTTGGAAGTATTTATCATATAAATAAGGATTTTAATACAATTTTCGTGATGAAAAAATTAAATAAAACAACTACATATATAAATCAAATGAAATCTCTCAATGATTTCAAGACATTTTGCTATTTTCCTAATGCAATTACCTAGCTAACCGCTTTATGACTTATAAGAAAGCTTCTTCCGTAATAAATACCCAAAATGGATGTTATATTGAAGCGTTGGAGCGTAAATGTGCTCTTTCAAGCGTAATAAGATCAAAGAAAAGGTAATGATTAATAGATTATAACGTTATGCATATAAGCGAGAAGAGAATTACGCACACTTAAATGAGATGCAATGCATAATTAAAGTACGTAATGTACGTCTCTATCAATAGAAAATATTTTCACATAAATTAGTCATTTTCATTATGATGTTATTTTAGAATATGAAACGATTTTTTGTCATATTCACTGTTACTTATAGATAATGAGAATAAACGTTGTGAGTTAGATTTATTTAGTAGGATGATACTGATTGCCTAGAACATGTAAATGTTGCAACGTGCATTCCACCTTGAAATTGCTAATTCACAAACGTTCCTAGTACGTATCTAAGTTAAATTAACCTCCGTATTCACTGTCACTTCAGGAGAGATGTTGGATTGATTGAAGGAAGAAGCAAAGCGACGATGATTGAACACTGATTAATCGAATCTTCAATTATCAAAGGATATTCGTGTCTTTGAATAGTATTCTCGATTCTTGAATGTTTCATGAGCAACATTGCGTATGCTTACAAACTAACTCTGTTGATGAATATTTATGGTATTACCTATATTTCAAATAATATTGATGTTTATGTTAGTAATAATTGTATTTACATTATTTTATTATTTTTCTATGTACATGTCAATGATATTTGTTTCAGAGTTTGGAGCTATCATCAACTGAACATTTTCAATAGTTTTTTCAATCACATTTTGGATGGACTCCAATTTCCTGGGATAAACCAATAACATAAATAACTCCTTCAGATTGTTAACTAAAAAATGAGTAAATAAATGAACTGGGAATTAAAATTGCAATTTTCAAGTTGAATCAGAGTGAAAAGTGTTTTGTTAAAAAAGTTCAGTGGAATTAAAGTAATTAAAAACTGTTGTATAAAATATAAAACAAGATAGTTTGAAAGCATAAAAATTAAAAAGTAAATGTGTGAAATAGTGTAGAGATTCAAACATTCATAAAGAATGTTTGAGAGTGTGGTATCGGGGTGATCGATCTGGAGGAGATAATGGCAGGTGTTGGAAAAGAGGCTGTGAGCCGGATGCTTCGACACATTCTCACGAATCTCACTAGCAGTGCCATTGCCATTACCACAGAGGTTGGTATATCTCCGGCTAACCCAAACACGCGAAGGACGAGTGACAACGCTGTAGTTTCTGTGCCCTCACCGACATCACAAGCCATGGTTGCGGGCCCGATTAGCGATAGTGTGACTATTTCGGCTAATCCGTCCACGGGTTTAACCAGTCCCGCGGTTACGACCACGACTAAGCCAGACCAACACGTCTACAATTCCACGGGCTACCTCGTTGAGCAGGATGAGCTGGAATACAGTGAGTAATAAAATAAGACATGGTCTTAATTTAACCTGGACTTTCCTCAAACCTAGTTGGCTAGCCTGCTATCTCAGCAAACGCTAATCCCTTCGTAGAGTTAACTCATGGGAGAAATTGTTTTTCACTTTATATGAAAAATTAATTATCAGCTTATACGTTTTTCTATTTTATCATTTATTTCTAGCATTGAATTTTAATGAATCAAATACACTCTTAAATTTTACATTTATAGGATACTTGAAAATAGATTTCAACGAAAAAGTAACTGGGCTAGTTAGATTTCAACAAATTTCGGACAAGTACTGCTTCTGGTTGAATTAAATGAAAGGGTGAAGTTGTTGAAACGATTTGAGTTCCTTCATTTCTTATTCACTAAACTCCCTGATGAGTTTGCGAATAGATAAATTCAGGTAGGTCTCAAAGTCCTTAATTAAGCCGTCTTACATCTTGTACTTGACTGGAGTGCCTTTTCTGTATTGAAGGAGAAACGATCGTTGTAGATAGTTTGCCAAAGAAGCATTTTCTGGTGATGCGATGAAAATACTAAAGTATTCAAGTACCAAAGTAACTTGAATTCGACAGATGTTCTTGAATATCAAAAGCATCGAGGTAAATTCCATGGTCGCTTTTTCTTTTATCTTAATGTTAGCAAGTAAAAGCTGATCCGATCATGCAGAAGAACACCCTCCACAAAAGTTACCTCCCTTTGAAATTTATCCTGACTTAAGAGTTTCTATTTGCGATGCCTTCGACAGAAGGAAATCGAAAAGCTGGCCTCTTCTCAATTCTGGGTAGAGCCACTTATTGGTTCCGCTCAAGTTGCCCTTTCTGCTTTAAAGGTGAAACTTTGCCGGTTTCCTCGACGCCTTGCTGCAAAAAAACCCCAACCATACTTTGACAATCTTTTCTCTATCTACTTTTACTCTAGAGGATTACTAAAATTGGACAGTATCTTCGTACTCTGTTCAACATCTTTTTCTACCATATTTTTATTTTTTTTTTCCATTGGTAATAGGGGGAAAAAATTCAGTTATATCTCTGAGAGTTACATTAGATTCATTTCTCACTTCATCGAGTTACGCCAAACTCTTTTAGTACTTATTCAAACATTCTTCTGTAGATGGAAAAACTATTTTAAAGAGAAAGAGACTAAAAGAGAGGATCAATGTTGGCACAGGATTTCATAAAAGTATATCCGTATCAAGTCCATTTCAATATTACTGTAATAAATTTACATAAATCTTTGGCAGATAATATAAGTATTATCAGAAAGTTATCTTAACTATACACAGGCGATTTAACCTGCTGAATTAGACAAAAATTTTATAATATTATCTGAATAGATATACACGAGTTGAATCAATATATCAGTATCTGATTCAATTCTAATTTAAAAGCAATGATCAGCTTGATTCAGTTAAGTGTAACTAAAATTTTTTTAAATAAAATATATCATAGTGAGTGGTCATTTTTTTAAGTCATTTTTTTTTTGAATGACTAAAAGTAATGGAAAATTGATTATTATACTCTAGAAAACATGAATATATGTATCATGAGCTTGGACGATTATTTTCAATAAAAAATCTGACATTCTAGAAAAGCTCCATTTTTCGTGGTTTTGTTTGCAGAAATAAATCTTCTACATGCTACTTGTCTGACCGAGCACGGTCTACTCCACTGGCATACTAAGTATCTGAGTGTCGGGTACTCAGCGATCCGTACTACTGTTCAGTCGATAGGAGACTTAACAGTCTATCCAGAAAAAGAAATCGTTGTGTTTACATTTCATATATTATGATGGTATCGAAATATTTTTACTGCATTATCACAGTAATTTTAAACTCCTTGCACGAAAAAGCCATTTATTTTAATTTCATTTTCTTCTTCACTTCTCACTAGAAATCCAGAGGGTCTCTGAAAATAGCAGAGATTCTCTGGATCTTCTGCATATTTTTTTTATCTCAGTCTTTTTGCCTTTACTGGAGTTACAATTTCACTCATGATTTTAAAGTAGTTTAATCGTAATAGATAAATCTCACATTAAAACCTGAGGTAAAAGTTTTATGTGATCATCTACCTGTAAAATTTGCTCAACTGTCTGGAGTAATTTCTTGAAAGAATAATGGTTATTATCTTTCTGATCGGTATCAATTCCCTTGACTAAATTGTTCCTTCTATATAATCCTATGATTACTCACATGTTAAAAGTAGTACATTTTAAAGAGATTCATGGTAATGCAATTTATCCTTAATAGCAAGAAAGCTTCTCAACTTCGGGATGTTTTCACGGTGACATTAAGCTTTGAGACATGTAAAGGGTAAGAGTAGACGGTACAAGTGTCGCGGCTTTATGCTTCGAGTCACATAGATGTTAGAGTATACCAGAGAATCTAATTTTCACGTGTAAGAGGTTAGATTTTCTCAGATAATACTATGATATTTTAATATGTCGGATGATGTGGCTTCTGTAAATTAACGTTGACTTTCTTCAAAGAGTTGTCATCAAAATTTTCCTTTTAACACATATATAATAAAATAAGTCTAAAATTTTCTGAAGCTACTGTAGTATGAAAATATTGGTGGTAATATAAAATTTAAATAGTAAAGTTATAAAGTGGATTTAGTTTTTTATTGCTTGGATTAGAATAAAATGATAAATTATTTCATATCAGATTATTATATTAAAAAGACTTTTAATTGTTTCAGAGGATTACTATTTTTGCATCAAGTAATGAAATAAAAAGAGTTTATTATATAAGATCTTATCATATTCAGAGAGATTATTCTATTTAACCTTTTTATAACGAGAACATTTCTCAATTGTTATAAAAAACTATGATTTTTTCTCAACAGCTGAGGTATGAAAGCTTCAGTGTGAAAAAATTGGTACTTTATGTGAGACGTTAGAAATGTAAAAAGAAAACTCTTTTGGGTAAAAGCTTTCAGAAAATCTTGAAACTACGATGAAATCGACACAGTGAACGTTTGTCGAGTGTTATTGGAAGGTTCAAGACATAAATGAGTTCTTCTTTTACACCAGAGGATTGACGAGCACGATTTCCTTCAGCGATACCAATGCACCAGCATTGGTTTGATAGTTTACTTTCTTCACTTTTTGATTTTATGCCCCTGGAATTACATCCGAATAAGATTGACTTTTCAAACCATCGTAAAGGTCAATAAAAAGTTGAAATAATGGTATTGTCTTCAATATTTATGATACAGTCTATTTTTGCAAACTACTCACTCGTGCATCATTCTGCAACAGCCGTTAAATTTTTGATTACATCTGGTGAAGTCTGACTTTTCCATGAAGCACGAAAGATTATACCAATATATTTGATTCAGGTGATTTTAATTATTCATTTCTTTGAAAAATCAGTAGTTATTGAGTTCATGCTGTTGAATGTTGATATTTTTTGACTATTTTCCATCATCAGTTGGTAAAAATAGAGCTCTAATTCTTCCAAGTAGATATCTTGATGAAGATTAAATTGATGAATTCTCCCGATCAATCATCAGAACTGGAGTTTTATTTCGAGCAAAACTTATCAGTATTTCTGTGACAAAATAATCTAGATGAATTGAGAAAAAATTGCTGTTTCTTTTCTGACTGTTCTATCATTGATCTAGATTTCGCAATATATTCTTTGAGAGATTAAAATTATCCTTTTGATAGCTCGAGTAGAGTGGTAATATTTGGTTTAATTGATTGATGTTTATTAAGGTTTTTTAAAATTATAAATACCTAAACAATTCTTATAAATTATTTAACTTTAAAAAGTTAAAGTTTTTATTGAAAAATATTTGAAATAGTTTTTAGTTATAACTTTATTGGAGTTCTTCAAGATTTAATTTGATGATGTAGTTTAGTAACTTAAACTATAAATCTAAAGGCTTGACGAGTTGACAATAAAAAGTATTGAGGGACTTTAAAAAGCTTCTTACAAAGTACTTTTCCACTACCTTGTATCATTTCCATCATGATCTCAATGAAAGTAACTCTTGGCTTGGTCATGCTTACGTGAATCTTGTTGTGAGTGCGATAGTTCTGTCTGATGTCCAAGAACAACCAAAGTCCCTTTTGCAGAACCGGAACTACTTTCTGTGGAGACAAATGAGCCTATGGATCTTGTGGTTAACCCATTTATCTTTGTCGAGAAGACTTCCGGACTTCCTACAATGATAGGATGACTGTAAAGTCTTTTGTGTTCCAGTTGTAATCCCGTTTTCCAAGATAAAAGCTTGCTTTGTAATTATATCGTATTTACAATATTCATCACTCACCTTCCTCAGACAATAAGATACAGTATCAATTACACTCCGCGTTCAAGATAAGGCAGAATTTATCCTTTAGAGTATTATTCAGCTTTCAGGTACTCTGAACAAACCAATGTTTCTTAATTTGTGGAAATGTTATTCAAATAATTATCATGAATTCTTTGTTATTTTCTTAATTTTCATTTGATGTGCTTTTTGTTTTATTTTTCAATCGTGCATTGAAACATAAAAAAGTCATAAGTACAGAAATGCGATGATTTATGGATGAAATTGATAGTAGATATTTGAAAACGAATGGCAATTTAGAGCAGGGACCATAAAGCTCGTAGTAGCGGAAGAATCGAACGGAATAGCGACGCGATATGTTCTTACATTTGAATAAAAATTTCCCATAAATACTTTCTTCATGTTTCGTTGGGATGCCGAAGCGAAATTGCGTGGCGCCACGTATCTAAAAAAAGCAAAAAAAAAAAATCTGATAATAAACGATGCATATAAAATATGGTTTTGTATTCGTATAGGTATAAAACGTGCATCAGCTAAAGAGATAGAAAAAGAAAGAATGAGTATATTTCACGGCAACGTTGGTGCGATGAATCACTTGGAGTGAAAGTTTGCATCCGTCCCACTGTCGTCTTTACTTCCGTATGAACCTGAGATTGAGACAAATCTCATAGCTCGTTCTTCCACTCTACTTGTCACTGTTCATTTGTATT